AAAGAGCAAGTCCAACCGCACTACATCGTCGACAAGTTCATCTACATCCCATGGCGATGATGCGAAGCGTGGCAAAGATCTCTTGGAGAGACTGATGGAAAAGGGGCTCATGCCCTTAGCAGCCCTGGATGTCATCAGGGGTTGGTTGGTCCTGGAAATGGCAGTGTCTTCGGAGGAGGACAGACGATTGATCAAGGCGGCAACCCGCAATCGCCTTGCATACAGTGAGATCAGGACTGCCCTGCTAGGTCTCTTCGAAGCTGGAGGAGGACACGGTGGTCATCGACATCAAGCCTCACACCGTGCCTACTTTCAGGACTATGATCCCGACGAGACCTATGACAAGAATGCAGAGCACTACGGCTTCTACACTGACGAGTCCTACGGCCAGGACTACAACCTTGATGAGTATGGCGAGTGGCCTGAAGAAGACAACTTCGAGGCCAATGAATGGGAGAATGAAGAGGAGTTCGATGAGGAACTTCTTCGTCTTCAACAAGAACAAGAAGAGATCGAAAAGAACAAGTCAGAACTTGAGGCCTTGCTTGGTGAGACCGACCGCAATTTGGTTGAAGCTCGCAAGGCAGTTGCAGCAGCTCACAAAGATCGTGGCTGGTCCGGAACGGTGCAACAGAAGCAGCCTCGATCGACATCTACATACCCTTGGAAGGGCAAGTCCAAGGGGAAGGGCAAGTCAAATGGTTCATTCCGACCTGCACCTCATGATGGTCACTGGATTCAAGGTGGCAAAGGTGGCAAGGGTCGATCTTCATTTGGAAGCTATGGCAGCTTCAAAGGAAAGGGCAAGAAAGGAAAAGGAAAAGGCTCATATGGTTCCAACTTCAACATGGGCATGATGGAAGTTGCTGGAGACCTCGACGATGACGAGGGCATGTTTCCTTTGCTGATGGCAGCAACTCCGGAGGCGAAAATGCCTCGAGAAGCTAAGCTTCCGCCCTATCAGTCTTTGGTTGACACTGGTGCGACAGCCAGCGCCGGTGGAAAGCAGGCTGTGCAGGATCTTTGCAAGTCCCTCGTAGCAGTCCGACCAAACTTGGAAGTGACTGTGATTGAAACAGCGAGACCTTGGTTTCGGTTCGGCAACGGTCGCTGCGGACGAGCTCTCTATAAGGTAACCCTCAAGGACAGCACCACTGGGGTTTCTATGTCCATCTATGCACTTCCTGCAGTTGGAGTCCCCGTTTTGACTGGCATGAAGGAACTACAAAACCTCCAGTGCATCCTCAACTGTACTACGGGAGCTTGTGTTATTCGAGGTAGGCCCATGCAGTTGCAAAAGAACCACAAAGAGCACCTCATCATCGACTATAAGGAACACATCTTTCCTCCCTCAATGGATGGTCCACCACACATGAAGCCCAATGCGGTAAACCCTACATCCTCTCTTTCCACTTCGTCGAAACCTTCTCGGAGGGTGCGTTTTTCGGAAGTCGAAGAGTGTCATGTTTTAGACATTTTCACTTTAGATTTCTTTGAGAATGACGGCACGGAAATCATGGCCATGGAAGAGAGTGATTGCTTTGATTTTGTTTTGGAAGCTTCTTCATGTTTGGCAAGTCACTTGGGAGTGACTGAGACATCGCTGCAGCATCTGACGACCACAGCTGACACGCGCGAACTCTGCCCGAATCCGACGCCCTCACTGACTTCGACTAATGGCCGACTCCTCGCTCAAGGACGAGATCCGGAAGGCCGTGAGGGAAGTGGTTCAAGAAGAGATCTCACAGGCCACGAAGCAGGCCAAAGAGGAGATCAAGTCCACGGCCGCCAAGGCCAAAGGAAAAGCCAAAGTCAAGACCGAGCTCGACTACACCCGAAAGGCTGGGATGGATCAACGCGATCCCAGGTCGAAGGACCAACAGTGGCCGTGCTACGGGAATCATCATCCTCACAGCCACGGCAATCGCTTCGGCAGCTGGTCGGAGTGCGGAGTGTGCGGCCTGCGCGCTCAGTACATTCCTGCGACAAATGCACCTGCTCAGACGACCCATGTGGATCTGCCCCAGAATGTGACCCTGGCTCTGGAGAGGCTGAGGAACGAAGGTTGGGAACCTCAGAACATCTCCTCCACACAGGTCAAGGCGATGATCACCATTGTCGCAAAGGAGTACCAGCTCATCAAGACCCCGAAGGCGAAGAAGGGCTACACCAAGCCGAACGATCTGCCTCACGCTCCATCCACAGCATCCGGGTCGACTCCAAACCCAGAGATCTTTCCGATCGGCTCGGACTCGGAATTCGAGAAGGTGAGCGTGGCGGACGGCAAGAAGAAGCGGGAGAAGGACCCGCCTGGTCAGTCGTGAACAATGCTGACAGCGAGTTTGAACAGCCTCTTGAGGAGGCTACACGCAAAAGCCTCATGAGAAGCACCACGGAATTCAACATGGGCACCTGTCTGGGTGCTTTGCAGGACTTCACAAATCCTTTCCTTGTTTGGGAAGTCTGCTGCCGAGCAGACTCTGCACTGATGAATGCGGTCCACGAACAGAAACTTCAAGGGCATCGCAAAACCCTCGAGACCGGCTATGACATCGGCAAGCCAACTGATGTTTCCAGGATGGTCCATGAAGCTAAGGAGCAATGTCCTTCTATAGCCTGGTTCAGTCTGGTTTGCACAGCCGTTACCTCCATCCAGAATCTCAATCAACGAGACTGGAAACAAGTTGACAATCTTCGAAAGAAGAGACAGCGATGCCGTCGACAACTACGGGGAGCAATAGCAATCGTTTGTGCTATCATCATGGCCAGTGGGAACACCAGCAAGTTTTTCTTCGAGTGGCCAAAATGGGCAACAGCCGGATGGCGTCTTCCTGAACTTCAAAACTTCATCAAACAGTATAACCAGGAGTTCGGGCGCCTCTACTTCACACAGATTGACGGCTGCATGCATGGCATGAAGAGTCCCGACGGCTACCACATCCAAAAGAGCTGGTTGATTCTCCACAATGACCCAGAATTTCATGACAAATGTGGCAACAAGTGTGATGGTCTTCATCAACACCGTCCTGGTGGGATGATCGGAATGGGAAGCAAAGCCGTTGCTGAAACAGCCTTCTATCCACCTTCCATGGTCACGGCCATTGCTCGAATATGGAGATCCCAATGTCATCGAAGCCGGCAAGCTTCTCCAAAGGAGATCTACAAGACCATCATGGCCATTGACGCTGACAAGGAGCTTGAGAAAAGGGAGACAAAAGGGGAACAAGAATTGAAACATGTGCCAAAAGAAGAGATAGAGAAGACCAACGCCATGCTACATCGACTTCATCGCGCAGCTGGACACCCGACAAATCGCTCTTTGGCGAGACTTTGTCAAGACCGAGGACTACCGCCCTGGGTGAGCCAACTGGCATTGAACCTTCGATGTCAAGCATGCGTGGACACCAAGAAAGGTGCACAGATGACTTTGCCTGCCTCAATCGAGTCCAGAACAAGACCCTGGCAGATGATTGGTTTGGACGTCTTCGAGCTCTATTACCCAAAGCTCAAGGTCAAGGCAAGATACCTGCTCATGACCTGTTTGACTATGAGGTTCACTTCAGTTCATCTTCTTTGGCAAGGTGACATGGCCACCACTGGCACTGATGCAGGTCAAAAGTTGATCACCGCTTTCGTTGAAGGATGGCTTCTTCACCGACCACGACCTGAATGGCTTTTGGTTGATGCTCAAACGTCACTGGCCAAAGGAGACTTTGCAGCCTTCTGTCAATCCATTGGCATTGGCATTTCAGCCGTTCCTGGTGAAGCGCACTGGCAACACGGTGGAACTGAATCCATGGTCAAAGCGATCAAGAACACCATGAAGAAGGTCAGAAGTGAGTACTCTCAACTCAGCCCAAAGCTGGTTGCACTTCTGGCTTCGGCAGCACAAAACCATGGAGACCGTGTCAAAGGTTTCAGTCCAGTTCAATGGGCATATGGCCTAGAGCCAGGAGCCTGGCACCTTGAGAATGACCCCCTGGAGGTGAACGTCAACCATGGCATGAGCACTGCAGAGTTCTGGCAAGTCCAAAAGAACAGAGAGGCCGTTGAACAAATCCATCGAAAAGAGCTGGCAGCCTCTCGCATGACTCGGCTCTACAATGCTTCAAGCCGGCCCACCAATGCATACATGGTGGTAGACTGGGTGTGCGTGTGGCGCAATACCACACTTCGTGCACGGAAGAAAGGCTTCATGAATGAAGCTCGCTTCATTGGACCTGGCCGCGTTGCAATGATTGAACCTTCGGTCACTGAAGGTGGACAAGCTGCAGTCTTCTGGGTGCTGATGGGAACCTCACTCTGGAGATGTGCACCCGAGCAGCTGAGGCCAGCCACTGAAGTGGAGATTGTATCTGAGATGGTGAAGCAAGGTGACAAGCTGGCAACTCCACTGAGTGATCTTCTACGACAACTTCATTCCAGCGTTGATGTCACTAAGGAACCCGTCTTCGATCCTGAACGAGACCTTCTACCAGATCAACCACGTCCTCAAGGAGAACCTGATCCTGGAGAAGGTGATCTGCAACCTCCATCTGATGAACGGCATGGGCCTTCAGAAGAATCGGAGTCAAGACCTCGTTCGAGATCACGATCCAGAGAGCCACCAGAACAAAGACGACAACGAGTACAAGAACACGTGGCCCAATGGGATCAGCTTCAATCCATCAACAAGGCCCGTCGTCTTGAAGGACTACCTCCGTTGACTCAACTTCCTCGACAGCAGGAACAACAAGGTCGTCCTGACGATTGGGAATACATTGAGTCTGAAGGCAAGCTCATTCGACACCACTACACTCCAAGATGGTCCCTCTTTCGGCCAAATACTACAACCAACTGTCCCGTGGAGGAGCGCTTTGTCCAACCACAACGACGAACATACTGGTGGGACGATCACCAGAATGGCGCCTATGAGGACAATTGGAAGAAGCAGCCAAAAGAAGACCAAGCGTTTGCTCGACCCTGGACTGGACGCACCGAGTTCACGGTGAGACCTGGAGGCCGCAAAC